ACAGGTGGGTCGTGGGGGGGGGGGGGGGGGGGGGGGGGTTGTCTGGTTTAAGCCAGCTGGGTAATTGAAATGGCATCTTATTACCATGTGAAATAGTTTATTGTGAACTCTCAGGATAGAATGACAGATGAAAATGAATGAGGGTTTCTCGGCGAAAAGAAAAGGACTGAGTTATGATTCTAATGGGAGCAGTTGTCAAGATCTTTTTCTCCTGAGAGAAAAACTGACACATCAGTGATATTACATTAGTCACAGCGCTGTGATTTAGTCTTCACCTCAGACCTTTTTGGGGAAGAAAGGTAGAAAGATGATCAGTCTCAGATGATCTGATCGCAAGTGGTCGAGTGAACGAGCTGATTCTTTTCAATGAACCTGTTAAATCGATTCTCAAATCGTGCTGAATGATTCATTCATGAATTAGAATTGGACCGATGGGGTTGCAGCTGTTCTCGAGTCAACGACTCACTGATTCAAATGATTCAGTCAGAGTGTGTCTCCAATTTCTTTTTGAAGTTCTTTTAAAAATGTTATACACACATTAAAATAAAAATGATAAAATAAACATTCATCAATCAGTACTTTTTACACATGGTAGTTGTGAACAGATCACTCAAAATACAGTATATCACTCAAAATATCATAATATTATATAAACGAGTCTTTCCACTCCTCGCAGGAAACAGATTAGATATTAAAGTGATGTGTTTAAGACAGACAATAGACTATTCTAAGACAAGTAACTGATGTGCAGTGTCTACCATTATTCATTTCCACGTTCCTCGAATTTCAAAATGCATTATTTGTAAAAGTCATCGAAGTGATAGACGAAGCACTTTTGGCCGTCCGCTAGTGTGGCTCTCGGCCAGGATCAGTCCACAGTAATATAGAGTCTGTCGAGTAAGTGTTTTTCCATTTCTGCTCAGCCAAAAAATGCTGCGAGCGTGAACTGTGGATGTGTAGGTCATTCTAAACGTCATGGTATGTGCATGTACACATGATGCTGAGCGTGTTTGTCATGTTTTAATGGTTCATTCGGATTGTAATAAACACACACTCTCTGAGTGCCGCTTCAGTCCAGGAGGTGAGAGGGTCAGTTTGTCCTTGAGAAAATGCTCGACGGCACATTTTCCTGTTGTTCTTGGCCACTCTATAAAAAAGCGACACTAGCGAAGCCTTCGTGAGCTCAGATCACTCAATATTCACTCTTTCTCCCTCAGGGCTGCATTTATCTCTCCTCTGAGGAGTCTTGCTCTCATCGCTCTTTATCTCACTGGGACATTAAGTGTGACAAATCCAATTACGGCTCGTCTCGGTAATTAGCATTAGTGCCGACATTTATGATTGTCATTTATTTACCAGACCTAAGGTGCAACAATATTGTAAGCGTACGTTAAACCTGTCATTCACTGTGAAGAGCTGCTCTAAATGTTTCTACATAAACCCTGGTGATGTACGGTGCCTGAAACGCATCGCATTTATGATATCTACCTTTTCTTGATGCATTGTGCTCCTGTGAGAGGGACACTCACCTGCTGAGACACATTTGAGCCCTTAGAGAGAGAGAGAGAGAGAGAGAGAGAGAGAGAGACTGTTTTGAGAGGAAGGTAGTGTGGGAGGCTCAGGTAAATGCAAACACTGTTGCATTTGTACATGAAGTGCTGCATTCTGGATAGACTTTTGCTCTTTGACCTGCATAGATGTGAATCTGGTATAGAAATGAATGTTTTTTAATGTTTTTTTATTTTCAAATTTCAATGCCTGCATTCTTTGATATATACATATTATTTTTGGATAAAAGACCCAAGGTGCATATCCGTCCGTCCGTCCGTCCGAACATCCATCTGAACGTCCGAACATCCATCCATCCCAACATCCGGACATCCATCCCAACATCCATCCGAACATCCAACCGGACATCCAACCAAACATCCATCCCAACATCCCAACATCCAACCGAACATCCATCCAAACATCTGAACATCCATCCGAACATCCAACCGAACATCCATCCATCCGAACAACCAACCGAATATCCGAACATTCATCCGAACATCCATCCGAACATCCATCCATCTGAACATCCGAACATCCATTCAAACATCTGAACATCCATTCAAACATCTGAACATCCATTCAAACATCTGAACATCCATCCCAACATCCGAACATCCAACCGAGCATCCATCTGAATATCCATCCGAACATCCGAATATTCATCTGAACATCCAACCGAACATCCATCCGAACATCCGAAAATCCATCCATCTGAACATCCAACCGAACATCCATCCGAATATCCGAACATTCATCCGAATATCCGAACATTCATCCGAATATCCGAACAGCCGAAAAATAATGTGTCTGTCATTGTCTTTTGATAGGTACATTTGTGTTCTGCTTTAGTTCTTCTTTTTATCTTTCTCTCTAACTTTGACTTTCTCAGCAAAATCAGATTGATCATCATTGATAATCTGCAGATAACGAGCCAGAGTTTAAATGAGTTTTTAATGTGCTGATTTTAAGAGGCAGGAGAAAAGATGTTCGAGTGAGAGTCAGTCATCAAACAGACCTCATCGAGCTTACCTGCTCTTTTATTTGCACCTAAAATAAGTTATTTTATTTTTTCATAATTATTTTTTCCTTTGTTGTGCTGTTATGTGTTTACAAATTTGACATGTTAATTGCTTTTGATTGTTTTTTTAATTGGATAAAGTATTTTCATGTGCCAAAAAGCTGTTTTTCCACAATGTCTGTGCTGATTCGTATGCAGAAATCTTTGTGCAACTTTTTTGAGTTTTATTTAATTTTATTTATAGTACTTACTTTATGTTATGATGTCCTCTCCAGACTGCCGTGACATCCTGTTACCCATGATGCTTCGGGAGCTGAGCGGAGCGTTGGCCGTGGTGGGGGAGGGGCTTCAGGATGAGAAGCGCAACAGCGTCGAACTCCTCAACAACATCCTGGAGGTGCTGAGCCGCAACGACGTGGTAAGAGCCAGTCAGAGAGCAGCACACTAATACACCAGCCAATCACAGCACAGTCAGTGGATTCCTGGAGAAATTTCATTCTATTCTACAACCATTGATTAAAAAGAGTTCAATCTGATTAAAAATTTATTTAAAAAAGTGCACTAAAATTACAATAAAATATAAAGAAATACTTATTAGAGTTGTGTTATCATGTGTTGTGATCCAAATTTATGTACGAGTTTGATAATCCGACATCAAATGTTCTTTTTTCACTTTTTAATTAGGAATTTAGAAGTTTCTGAGATTCTGAGGATTCAAGTCTTCCAACTTTCTGAGATTTATGATTATTATTTGAAAACTGCATCTAATCAAACGCACACACTCACTTACCTAGATGTAAAATCTGAGCGGGTTGTTTAATTACTAAAATGGCTACAGATTACACTCGGGTTCTTTGACGTCTGATGCTCTAATCTCACTTTCCAAACGCTGATGCGCTTTGACACTGAGCTTCCTGAACTTCCACTTCCAAAGAAAGCAGTGAAACGGCAAGAGAGGGAGGTAATGAAGGAGGTCAGGACACCGCCGTGTGTTTATCAGCGCTGTCTGTTTGTGTGTGTGTGTTTAAATCAGCACTTGCACTGCTTCCTCTTAAAGAAAGGCTCTGGGTTCAAAACAAGTGAAGATCTATTCAAAGCATCTGTGGCATAATGATCATTACTACAGAAAATAATTTCATACTTTTAAAGTAGTACATATGCTTCCATAGAAGTCTGTGGAGTTATTAATATTTTATATAATTTATGTAATTTTAATTTGACATTTTTATATACATTTAAAATTCTATATAATTTTAAATATGTGTGTGTGTGTGTGTTTTAATATATTATATAAGTATATAAAAATATATTTTAATATAATAATATTAATATATACCTTTTTATATAAATGTAAAAATTATATAAATTCATGTTATTAAAAATGATTCTTATAGTTTAATATTTTCATGTTTATACAATTATATATAATTTTAAATAGTAATAAATAGTAATAAATATGATTTAGATAAAACCAGTTAATTTAGATGTTTTTAGGTTACCATGTTAAATAATAGATCAATATTAAAGAAACAATATTCTGTATTAAATAAATGCAATGCACACAGACTGAAGTAGTTTAAGTCTTTGGTTCTTTTAATTATGATTTTGGCTCACATTTCACAAAAACCCACCAATTCACTATCTCAACAAATTAGAATACTTCATAAGACCAATAAAAAAACAACATTTTTTGTGAATTGTTGGCCTTCTGGAAAGTATGTTCATTTACTGTACATGTACTCAATACTTGATTGGGCCTCCTTTTGCATGAATTACTGCATCAGTGCGGCGTGGCATGGAGACAATCAGCCTGTGGCACTGCTCAGGTGTAATGGAATATATATATATATATATATATATGTTGTGTGTGTGTGTAAATATATATATAATCTTAAAATTTAAAATAAATACTATATACATGCATTATATAATTTGAACTATTATGATGTTTTAAGAATATTAAGACAATAATAATAGTATTTATTTATTTTGAAAATTTTAAATATTTTGAACAGTGGACTCCTTTGATAGACATACTTCTAGTTATTCATCAAAATCTTTCATTTTCAGTGAGAATCAATCAGTCATGGCACAAATGCTAATGAAACAGACCAACCTTCAGTGTTTACACTTTACAGGAAGTCAACGCATGCATATCTTAAATATAGTTGACTCTGAATATTACAAGTGTCGAGTTTTAACATTGAACTAATGACACACTTCACCTTTAACTTGTACTGAAGCATAAATGTCTTTTAAGAGCTGTTTGTGTTTAAGTGGAGAGGTGAGGTGAGCGGGTCAGACCCGTCTGATTATATGATGATGAACGACTGATGAGAATGATGGTGTGCTGAAGAGAGAGCAGAATGAAGATGTGATGGGGTCATGACCTCTTGTCTGCTCCTTTAACAGGATTCAGAGAGCGTTCCGCAGTTCAAACAAACAGCGATGGAGAGAGAGACGTGTGAGGAAGACTCTCGCTCTCCTTCTCTCTCCCAGGGCATGTTTCAGGCTGCAGTTTGAATTAAACTCTCGGAGAGCCTTCAAAACATTATTCACCTCAAACGATTCTTCTAAAAATACAGATGAGAGAACATCTGTGAGAGCGAGTGATTGTAGAGCAGCACACAAACATTACGGGATGGGAAATAAGCTGTCTAGGTATTCCTGAGTGTGTCGTTTTAACTCTATTTTGTGACTGGATGAGCTGCGTTTAGAGTCTTTATAAAATGCAGATAAACACACCTATTTGAAGATGAGAGGATGCTTAGCAACCATAAACATCCTGCTAATATATAATGAACTAAAGCTATAATCAACTAATGTCCATGATGGAACATACATCATATTTCATCCCAAAATCACAAGACATCAGCGTTCAAAAGTTTGGGGTCGGTTCGATTTTGTGATATTTTTGAAAGAATTCTCTTCTGCTCACCAAGGATACATTTATTTGATCAAAAATACAGTAAAATCAGTAATATTGTGAAATATTATTACTATTTAAAATAACTTTTTTTTTATATATATATTGTAAAATGTAATTTATTCCTGTGATGCAAAGCTGAATGTTCAGCATCATTACTCCAGTCTTCAGTGTCACATGATCCATCAGAAATCATTCTAATATGTTTTGCTGCTCAAGAAACATTTCTGATTATTTAATGCTGAAAACAGTTGTGCTGCTTCATATTTTTGTGGAAACTGTGATACGTTTTTTTTCTCCATGAATCTTTGATGACTAGAAAGTTTAAAAGAACAGCATTTATTTGAAATAGAAATGATAAATGTCTTTGTCACTTTTGATCAATTTAATGTATCCTTGCTGAATAAAAGTATTAATTTATTTTAAACCCCCAAAATTGTAATGGTAGTCTATAAATGAATATATGAAATGTAAACAATCCTAACAATATTTAAATTCATAAATATATAAAAAAGTTTCTTTAATGCAACATTTTACTTTTGAGTTTGAAGTTCATTTCTGTGATGATTTCATTAGATTCTTATTACTGTAATGACTTTTAATTTAAATCAGCATAACCTATAGACAACACATCAAATACTTTAGAATCGAAATGTTTATCATTGTTTTTTACACATTACATTATTGTTTTGGGCAAAAGTTAATGTCGTGAAAATAATGATTTAATGCGAACACTTTAAAATAGGCTTTGTTCGTTCGTTCATTCATTCAATTATTCTTTATATATTGTTTGCTTACTTAAATAAAATGAAGCCTATTTAAGAGTTTTTGCTTTAAATCATTATTTTCATGACAACATTTGCCCCAAATATTGGGATAAAATAAAGTATGAGCTGGAGATGCTCTTGCCAGGTGTTGTGAGATTGTGATGAGAGACCGGTGAGGGAGCAGTTTTGTGAAAGAGTAATGGAAACTGTACCGTATGACAGGCCACAGGTACCACATATATCTGCGTCCACACACACACACGCGCATGTGTTTTTTGACCTTGCGTGCATGTAAACCTGTTTTAGGAGACTCATAAAACAGTATTAGCAACCTTAAAAATGTCATAATAGGGGCACTTTAAAAATAAATGAAGGCCTTTAGTTGACATCACACACACACACACACACACACACACACACACACACACACACACACACTCCTCAGGGATTATAGGTGTACCTGATTAAGGCATCATCCGCTGACCACTGAGAAAGAATGAGACAGATGAGAGACTGACGATAAAGGAGGAGAGAGAAAGATACACAGAGAGAGAGAGAGAGCGAGAGAGAGAGAGAGTGTTTGTGTCGACAGCTGAAGTGAAGAGCTATTGACGCCGAGAAACACAATATGAAATGAAATACTGCATGTAGAGATGAACAGATGTTTCTCTCGCTCTCAATCCCTCACTTTATCTGCCTCTGCGTCATGAAATTAGTGATGGGGTGGTAAGCACACACACACACACACACACACACACACACGCACAGACGAGTCATTTTCCTGTAGGCTGATTCGCACACACAGAGAGAAGATGTTTGTGATGAAGGGTTTTAATCATCCATGTTTGCACATCAATGATGTCGGCTGTTCAGAAACTTAACCTGCTCTCTCATGAGAAGGAAGTAGGAGAGAGACTAATACCACCAGTCATCCAGTGTGCTTTTAGTTTTACTTGTATACTGTTATAGTATTTATTAATATTTGAATTAGCTTTTTGTTGTATATTTTCAGTTTACATTTTAATTTAAGTTTTAGTTATTTTGTTATGTGCTTATGTGTTTTTTAAATATGTTTTATTAATATTCTTTAAATGTTTTATAGAATATTTTATACATGTATTATATATTAATATATTTTTATTTCAGTTTCAGTCATTTTGGTACTCCGGTTTAAACTTATTTTAGTAAGTTGCCAATGCAATATTTTTTTATTTTAAACATTTTTTTAACTAAAAGTATTCAATTTATTTATTTTGTTATGTGCTTATGTGTTTTTAATACATTGTTTTAATACTTTGTTATCAGATTTGAGTTTAGTCATTTTAGTACTGTTTGATACTGAGTTTTTCATCTGTTTATATTTTATTTAATCTTAATATCACTTACTGAAAATAATGTGTATTATTTATTTATATTTTTTAAAGTTTTAGTTTTAGTTAACAATATCAACACCGTGATAATCGTGCTGCTCATGAATGCTGTCTGACTGGATTCAAGGTTACGAAGAGAAACATTTTTCTTTCTTTGGAGTAACATGCTGAATTGTGCAAGATAAAGCCAGAAACATGTATTAAGATTTAAGTTGACTTTAATAAAGGACTCCACATTTTTAGAAATGGGCTATTTGTTGGGTCCAGATGGGTTTTCTCATAATTGATTTTATATATATATATATATAAAGGATATATATATATATATACAGTATAAATATATATATATATATATACATATATACAGTATATTTCACAATCTTTTTATTTGTAGGATATCTAAATAAATTTGTAAAATTATAATTGGTACCCTATCCATAAAAATGTCCTCAGACATTTCCAAGCATTTAGTTTTATCCAGCAAAATAATTTTATCTAGAGGGATTTTCCCACCACGATCTGTTTCTTCTAGATGTTCTGTCACCTTCAGACAGCAGTGCATCCTCCTGCAGGAAACAGAATCCCTGTCCACAGGAAGTTTGATTAAATATTGCTTTCGAACAGTTTCATTTACAGCTGATTACAGAACCGGCTTTACTTATAAGATGCGCGTTAAATATCGCATGCGATTTATCGTGCAGCCCTAATATATATATATATAAATATTAAAGTGTCCCTATTATGCCTTTTCAAATATTAGCTGTATGTGAACATAAACTATCTGCAAAGTTGTGAAGCCTACAGTGCACGATAAATAAAGTTATTGTCTATCAAAAAAAAAAGAGTCGGCTCACAATCGCCTAAACAAGTCATCAGGAATTCGAATCTTATTCTGTTACAACTCTACGTCACGAAGTAACACATTTGCATAATGTCAGCCCACGTTCTTCGTGGCCGACTTGCCCGCCCACAAACAGTAAAATTTCCATGTGATTAACATCATGTCGAGAAGACGCTGTATCCTACGCCGTGAGAGTAAATTAGTTTATCACATCTTATAATTACCACAAACTTGTTAACACTTGACACTTACTACCACCGAGAAACGTCCTGCTCCAGTCGTGCTTGCGAATCAGTCTCTTGTCGATCAGCCAGTTCAACCGTTTCATTTCATCAATCCTGCTTCGCACGAGTCGTTAACGAATCATTTAGAAATGAGGTTAAATTAAATCTATTTTTTGAGAAAACTAATGTGTTTTTTGACCTTGCATGCATGTAAACCTGTTTTAGGAGACTCATAAAACAGTATTAGCAACCTTAAAAATGGGATAATAGGGGCACTTTAAAAATAAATGAAGGCCTTTAGTTGACATCACACACACACACAAACACACGCCTAGCCTGTTCCAGATCTCTTCAGTCTAATCAATACATTAAAACAATAAATTAGTGTGGTGGAGCCATGAGACCAGACCTGCATCTAAAACACAAACACACATTTCACTTCTTCACTTGCACGGTTAAAGGAATGGTTAACCAAAAAAAAAAACTAAATTCTGTAAGCATTACCTCATCACATTGTTTCGCACTGCTCTTTTCTATGCAAATGAAAGTGAATATTGACCAAGAGCTGTAAAGCTCCACAAATGACAAAAAACAGCATGAAAATATCATGACTTGTGACTGACTTGTGTATGTAATCCAAACTTTTGTTTATGTAAGAAATCAATTCAAATTTAAATAGCTATTTACTGAAAACCTTAATAATCTTGCATAACACCTGTGGTCGCCATTCACCTCCATTTGTATTGAAATATCTGGTTATGATGATAGAATTTACATTTCGTGTCTGCTATTCATCCAAGATATAGCTTATAAACAGGGAACGCTGAGGTGAGAAACTCAAAAGTCATTCTGTGTGGTTGTGTTTTAATTGGGCGACTTAATGAGAAAATCTATGGCCGTTTGAATGCAGCGCTAGAATACAAATAACAAGCTTTTTGTCTCTTTCTTTTCCAGGGAGACACATTTCAGCACATTCAGGACATTGTGTCGTCTCTGCTGAGGACGATAAACTGCACAGTCATCACGATGGGCCGAGAACACACTCTCATCGTGAGTTTAAACCAGTAGATCCTCTCCATTCATTGTCCTTTTCTCTCTTTTAAGTCAAACGTCACTATTAATATTGCTCATACTTAGTTAATGATGGAAACAAAGGCCAGATCTGGTATTCTGAGGTTAACTATATCACCAGACCAGAAACATTTATTGCATTAAAATACACAATTTTATTGACGTCATCTTAAATATCTCATTTACAAACAAGGAAGGAGGAAGAAGAAGTGCATTGTGGGAAATGTAGTCTTAGACTATCAGAATATTGGCGTATAAAAATACATTGATTATAATATTTGTTATTCTATATATATATATATATATATATATATATATATATATATATATATATATATATATATATATAGAATCAGTCTCTTGTCGATCAGCCAGTTCAACCGTTTCATCATCAGACTCCAGCTCGAATTGGTAAGGTACAATCGATACCATCTTTTCTATATATTGACAAGTCTCCAGGGCTGTCATTCCATCATGGCAATGGGCGTTTAGTTTCCGAAACGCGCTGTACACGGTAGACCAATCCAGAGCCAATCTCTCTACGGCTCTGGACCAATTACAAAGGACTGCGCCATCTGACCAATCACAGCAGTGAGGGCTCACGGAAAGGAGGGGTTTAGAGAGACTGATTCTTTGAACTGCTTCGCACGAGTCGTTAACGAATCATTTAGAAATGAGGTTAAATTAAATCTATTTTTTGAGAAAACTAATGTGTTTTTTGACCTTGCATGCATGTAAACCTGTTTTAGGAGACTCATAAAACAGTATTAGCAACCTTAAAAATGGGATAATAGGGGCACTTTAAAAATAAATGAAGGCCTTTAGTTGACATCACACACACACACAAACACACGCCTAGCCTGTTCCAGATCTCTTCAGTCTAATCAATACATTAAAACAATAAATTAGTGTGATGGAGCCATGAGACCAGACCTGCATCTAAAACACAAACACACATTTCACTTCTTCACTTGCACGGTTAAAGGAATGGTTAACCAAAAAAAAAACTAAATTCTGTAAGCATTACCTCATCACATTGTTTCGCACTGCTCTTTTCTATGCAAATGAAAGTGAATATTGACCAAGAGCTGTAAAGCTCCACAAATGACAAAAAACAGCATGAAAATATCATGACTTGTGACTGACTTGTGTATGTAATCCAAACTTTTGTTTATGTAAGAAATCAATTCAAATTTAAATAGCTATTTACTGAAAACCTTAATAATCTTGCATAACACCTGTGGTCGCCATTCACCTCCATTTGTATTGAAATATCTGGTTATGATGATAGAATTTACATTTCGTGTCTGCTATTCATCCAAGATATAGCTTATAAACAGGGAACGCTGAGGTGAGAAATTCAAAAGTCATTCTGTGTGGTTGTGTTTTAATTGGGCGACTTAATGAGAAAATCTATGGCCGTTTGAATGCAGCGCTAGAATACAAATAACAAGCTTTTTGTCTCTTTCTTTTCCAGGGAGACACATTTCAGCACATTCAGGACATTGTGTCGTCTCTGCTGAGGACGATAAACTGCACAGTCATCACGATGGGCCGAGAACACACTCTCATCGTGAGTTTAAACCAGTAGATCCTCTCCATTCATTGTCCTTTTCTCTCTTTTAAGTCAAACGTCACTATTAATATTGCTCATACTTAGTTAATGATGGAAACAAAGGCCAGATCTGGTATTCTGAGGTTAACTATATCACCAGACCAGAAACATTTATTGCATTAAAATACACAATTTTATTGACGTCATCTTAAATATCTCATTTACAAACAAGGAAGGAGGAAGAAGAAGTGCATTGTGGGAAATGTAGTCTTAGACTATCAGAATATTGGCGTATAAAAATACATTGATTATAATATTTGTTATTCTATATATATATATATATATATATATATATATATATATATATATATATATATATATATATATACACACTGTATATTTTGAAGTCTGAACATGAGTACAGGACAGATTCGGAGCGGAAGACGTGCGTTTGAACCAGTGTGTGTGTTAAATACTCTAGGAAGCAAAAAGTGTTTATCTGATATAAAAACTGATATAAAAATATATCAGTGTTTTTGAATTCATTGATCATAATGAATCTAAACATTGAAGCTACAATGTCTGTGAGAACATCAAACATTTACACTTTAAATTCAGTAATATGTGTTTGTGAGGAAATTAGCGGTTGCATCCATATTTCATTAATGGGACGTTCATGTCATGGTGAAATTACCATAATTACCAGTTTCTAAAACCTGCCCATGTTTTTGTCAAACTCACAAATTACAAGTCAGAAACTCAATTCAACAATTCAATGAAAACTCAGTTCAATTACAGACAAACAACAGCTGCTGTACCTCTACACATATATTATCTTTACTATTGTTTTATTATTGCTGATGTTTCCAGATGCACATTCACTGAGAATATGGAGGTAAATGAATGTAGTGATTATTATTTTTATTTTTTTTACTTTCATCATGAATAAAGCTGCACATGCAGCCATTCTAGTGTTATGCAGCAATTTTCAGTAATTTTGACATTGAGTGTTGCCATAGAAATGAATAATTCCTGATTCGGAGAAACTGAACAATTCGGAGTAGAATCTCATTTAGTGATTTTGGTAATTTCGAGACATGAACGTAGCAATAGGAGCCATTCGCATACATTTGAAAATGGCCCAAGGGAACCGAATGTGATACGTTTGTTAAAAAATTTAACTTTTAATTTGACACAGCGTATTACAAATGCATGTTTATGTAAATCGACCAACTAAAAAATGGCGTAGATGTAATATGAGAATGTTTGGTATGAACAGCCCCTTTAGTCACTTTCCCTCTTGCTTTTGTTTTTAGAATCACATTGTAACTTGAAAATGTTAGAACTTCAAAATTTTGAATTATGTACTTCAATCTTTAATGCATTTAAATTCTGTTCCAAAAACTAGTGAGCTGCCTGCTCTCTAAATAGCCAGCATCCTTACTGAAATAGAGTGACTGATTGCTTCCAAACGATTGATTCAAATTAAAGGAACGGTTCACCCCAAAAATTTGCTGAAAATGCACTCACCCTCAGTCCATCCAAGATGTAGATGAGTTTGTTTCTTCATGGGAACAGATTTGGAGAAATATAGCATTACATCACTTGCTCACCAATGGATCATCTGCAGTGAATGGGTGCCGTCAGAATGAGAGTCCAAACAGCTGATAAAAACATCACAATAATCCACAAGTAATTCACACGACTCCAGTCCCTCAATTAACATCTTGTGAAGTGAAAATCTGCACGCTAGTAAGAAATCAATCCATGGTTTTGACTTCAAACCATTGTTTTCCGGCTAAAAACAACAGTCCATAATTCATAATATTGCTTCCTCCAGTGAAAAAGTCATCTCATCTGGATCGGAAGAGAAATATGCACAGATAACTGTTTTCGAGCAAAAACAGCCCAAAAGAGTTCTAATCAAATATGTGTCTGGATTTTGATGTGAGAGGACAACAGGGGATGGACCTTTTCACTGGAGGAAGCTTATTATAGATTATGGACTCATTGTTTGGCCAGAACCAGAAGCTAGAAGTTAAAAACATCTTAATGATGGATTTGTTTCTCACAAACACACAGCTTTCCACAATACATGAATTGATGGACTGGAGTCATGTGGATTACTTGTGGATTATTGTGATGTTTTTATCAGCTGTTTGGACTCCCATTCACTGCAGAGGATCCATTAGTGAGCAAGTGATGTAATGCTACATTTCTCCAAATCTGTTCCCATGAAGAAACAAACTCATCTACATCTTTGATGGACTGAGGCTGAGTAAATTTTCAGCAAATTTCCATTTTTGGGTGAACCATTAATTTAAACAGTAATTGTAACAACTTGGATGCTACCAATTAGGACAATGCAGTGTAGTTGTATCTTATAAAACGGCCTAATTTGGAACTGCCTTTGCAAGGGGAGCTCAACTACCAGTTGCTTAAAGTGCTGTGCATGTAGGCAGATCACTAGGTTTGGGAACAGAGCGTTAGACATTCATTAGTCGGGGACGAAAGCTATCCGCACACAAAGGTCAGAGAACGGTGATGAGGAGATGAGACAGAATCTCCATCAGGATAACACGCCGTCCATCAGCGTAGAGGGATATCGACTGCATTCCGCCTCTGTCAGACACTATGAAGGAGATTTATTGACTGGTTAGACGCGAGGTCTTGTGGTTCTCCTTGGGTTTTAAATTGTCCTCAAGTTTTCAGGATGTCAGTCGAGCTTTTGGTTCAGCCTGGGCTTTGAGAATTTCATCACAATGTAACAATTATTTCAAAGCGTAATCCGTTCAGTAGGAGCAACTGTTTGAACAAATTCTTTATCCTGGACTGTATTATGAAGCTCATGGTCCAAAAGTTTTACTTTCCAACATTGTAACCACATCTCTATGACAGCAGTGATGCTGGTGGCATTTTCCATGAATGCAAACGGAAGTAATTATACAATCTAAGCTGCGGTAGATCTCCATGGCGATGGTTCTCTATAGCCACCAGAAACACTTCTTTCGCAGTTTCTTGACGCGGCTCTTGGTTCGAGGTTGTATGTGGGCGGGCTTTGGGACGGGGGCGGGAACATCGTACTCTGCTTCATCCAAGGCTTCCAGAATGCTTTGAAATCGTCCCTCCTGCACACGGAAGTCGTGCTCCACACTAGAAATACAGAAATAGATATTAGGGTAGAACTAAATATAAAAATAAATCATATTAATTATGCAATGAGAGATTAAAGGAATAGTTATATTTTAATTCTACTTAATCTACTTTATCTTCTTCTTTTTTTTTTTTTTAAACACAAAAAACAAACAAACACTAGCTTTCTATTTTTTCTATTCTATTTTCTTGTTTTTTTTTGTGTGTGTATATGTGTGTGTGTATACTCTCAAATTAAAATTAGCTGAAAATGTACTCATCCTCAGGCCATTCAAGATGTAGATGAGTTTGTTACTTACTAACAAACCGTTTTTCACTTCACAAGATGTTAATTGATGGACTGGAGTGGTGTGGATTACTTGTGGATTATTGTGATGTTTTTATCAGCTGTTTGGACTCTCATTCTGACGGCACCCATTCACTGCAGACATTCCATTGGTGAGCAAGTGATGTAATGCTACATTTCATCAACAAACTTATCAAAATTAACTATATCTTGGATGACCTGAGGGTTTTTTTTTTGTTGAGAAAAATAAGAAAACTTGGTGACACTGAGTAAAAAACGGAGAAACATTCTTCAAACTTTCAAAGTCTTTCTGCGTTTCTCGCTCTCTATGTCCTTCTGCTCAGTCCGTCATTTATCTCATTTTCTTACAAGTTTCACAACGCAGTAGTTGGGTTCTGGAAGTTAAAGTCTCATTCATTTTTTTTCCATAGAAAGATTGATTTTTAATGATAATGTATAAACCTTTCAAGAGACTGAGCTCTGAAGTTAAATCATTGCAGCTGCTTCTGCTCTAGGACTTTTTTTAAAATTGTTTATAATGTTTAATAGCCAAAATCACACAGTCCCAAAGAGACCCACCATATATCTTTGAAAGAAGCCTCTTCTGCTCACCAAGGCTGCATTTATTTAATTAAAAATACAGTAAAAACAGTAAAATTGTGAAATATTATTACAATTTAAAATAACCTAAAATATTTCAATTGAAATATTTTTTACAAATATAATTTATTCCTGTGATCAAAGCTGAATTTTCAGCATCGTTACTCCAGTCTTCAGTGTCACATGATCCTTCAGAAATCATTCTAATATGCTGATTTGCTGCTCAAGAAACATTTCTGATTATCATGTTGAAAACAGTTGTGCTGCTTCATATTTTTGTGGAAACTTTTCAGGATTCTTTGATGAATAGAAAGTTTAAAAAAACAACATTTATTTGAAATAGAAATCTTTTATAACATTATAAATGTCTTTACATTCACGTTTGATAATGCATCCTTGCTGACTAAAAAATATTAATTTCTTTCTTTAAAAAAAAAAAAGAGGCTTACTGACACCAACTTTTAAAATCGTCATTCGCAGTGCTTCATGAGTTTAAATAAACAATCTTTGCAATTTAAAAAAATGTTTTGTTTGTTTTTAAAGTGAAAGTTTATCTGGTTAGTTTGGGTCAATGATTTAAAGGTCTTTGTGATGTTTTGTTTTTTTTTAATCCCAGTGCATAAATGAATGAGACAAATACTTCTGGAGCCAAGGCAGCTGAGATGAACTATTATGACAACTGCATCAAACTGACCATTTCATCTGACTGCAGTCTAGCAGCATGAAGATGTGTGTGTGTGTGTGTTAGGCGTTATGCCCTCTATTTACAGTGTAGCCACAATCCTGCCTGCAATTTCCCAGCAACTAAGTGAGTTAGAGAGAAAGAGAGAAAAAAGGGAACGTGATGAGCAAAAGATGGAGGTAAAGGGATGAGAGAATAATACAGACTGACAGAGAATATACTGAAGGTTAACAAACCCCATAATGACAGACGGAGATAAACGCAGTGTGTTCACCAACAGCTTGTTGTTGGACATTG